GCTGTATTTCATTCAGAGTATAACATTTTCATTTGTTGTCAGATTTATGTGGTTTTTCAAAATGATTTAATCTTGTTTGTAGCATTTTGTTTTTGTCCTCAGCAAATATCTGATAATCATAGGATTCAGATAAAGAACACCATCCTCTCTATTGTTGCACTTTAATCTCAGTGCTTCCTCTCACTGATCCTTTGTCTGCTCCAGATCTTTATTAAAACTTTCTTACACTGAAGGGTGATGGGAAAAAGTAGTTTGTTTTCTGTAGTCAGTGGAATTAAGAGTGAGCTAAATATGTTATTTAAATAAGTCAAATCCAATATCTGTATTCACAGAATCTGTTTGTTGCTTGTCTGTTCTCACCTCAGGGGCATTTGATGTCTCTTGTGTAAATCTTTGGTGTCCATGGGAACAGCCAGTGATAAACTACAACTGCAGCAGTGCATGTCCATGGGTCTAGTCCATAAAAATAATTCATCAGTCCTAAATGACTTTAGGGGAGACTGAACAGATACAGGCTGGTGGTGAAACTTGTATGTAAGCATATGTGTAGAATGATACTACCGGCATAATCAGTTGATTAAAATTCTGTCCTATAAGTTGCAGGATTAATGACAAGTCTTAATGTCTTTTCTCACTCGCCTCGCTTGCATGTGTGTGTCTTCCTACTTACAGTGCTGCGGGCGTATCTGCTTCTTTTGGAGAGATGCTATTACTGGTTGCCATGTATTTCCATAGCAACCAGCTCAGCTCCATTATTGAGTTGGTGTGCTCTACTTTGGGGATGAAGGTAAGGTGGTAGGTGGAAGAGAGGCACTGATCAATACATCAGTCTGGCTGGCCAGCTCCTGGCTGCACTCCTCCACTGCAGCAGTGGTGCATATGAGGACTAGATCACTGAAACACTCGCAGTTCACACATATCTACCAAGACACTCTATACCCTGTGGCCAATTTTCTTTATTACTTATTAGGTGCACAATTGTTTCCTGTCTGTGTGTTAAGTAGTTTTCCTGTCTCAGTGTATTTTCCACTAAGATGTGAAATGTAATTGGATTTAGAGCCTGTTTGTTTCCACCCTCAGGGCAATCATCTCAATTCAGGGTTGTGATGTTGTGCCTGCCATGTAGAATTTTTCTTATGAAATATGAAAGGAGGGAATTACAAAATACCAGCACTGTTGCCTGCAGGTTGTTTTCACTCAGATTGAACCTTTTCTTGCTTTCTCTTTTTCAAAAATGTTCAACTGTCCACAGATTGCCATCAAGCCGAGCTCTCTGAGCAAGATGAAGACGATCTTCACACAGGAAATCTTTACAGAACAGGTACGCATATAAATATATGTACATATACGTTTATACATTTTCCACCTGCAGTGATGACCTACTTCTTTCTACATGGTATATTATGGTTACCGTCACGCCTTTTTTAAATGAAAAGCAGGATGATTAAATGTTAAAACCACTATATTGGGAGATATAGCAGGTTGCTATGGGAATTACATTCAAACTAAATTTTGTGCATTTTCACTTCAGTGTGGTGGAAAGCTTTTAAGAAGGTGTTCTTTGATAAATGTTCCATTGTTGCTGTACTGAAAACGTTGTTTCTGATGTGCAGGTCGTCACAGCCCATGCGGTTCGGGTCGCTGTGACCAATAACTTAAGTGCAAACATCACAGGATTCCTCCCAATTCACTGTATCTACCAGCTGCTTCGGAGCCGAGCCTTCACCAAGCACAAAGTGTCCATCAAGGTATGAGGTGTGCACTGGATGGCTCATAATGATGCTTGCGTGATTAAGTTTAACAAATGTTCCCAAATTGATTTTACCCTATGGTTTATCTTTCAGGATTGGATTTATCGCCAGCTCTGTGAGACCACCACCCCCATCCACACCCAGCTGATCCCTCTAATTGATGCCTATATCAACTCCATCCTCACCCCAGCATCCAAGGCCAACCCAGAGGCCACTAACCAGCCTATCACTGAGCAGGAGATACTCAGTGTCTTCCAGAGCGCTGCTGGGGTGAGTTAAACTGAGATGTGAGATAAACTGAGATGCCAAACCCTCAAACTGTTTCTCAAAAAGTTACCAGTCATGTACATATCACTTGTGGTTGAGTGATATTGTTATTGTGGTTTAACTTTCAGGTCTTGTGTTTTAATGTTATCTGTATGTGTGAGTATTTGAAGGCAGTGTTTTCCTCTTTTGAATGTATTTATCTCTCTTTTTAATGACACTGAGTGTAATCATTCACTTTCAGTCCTTAAACCACCCTACCTTGTATAATACAGTTATAGGAGTCATAATTGTTGTAATTAAGTTTCTGTTGTGCTGCAAAGTGTATTTTATGCTATTCATCTTGGTTATTTGATTTTCATTTTAAAATACAAAAATTAATGTTAAAATTCAGGGGTTAAAATATATATATATATATATATGTATATATATATTTTATTTTCTATTTTGTATAACAAGTAAAATGAAACTGAAAACAGAAATGAAAAAAAGCTTGTCTTTCCTGTTGCTGAGATAAGTGTTGCTGACAGCTGCATACCTATCATAGGAACCTTACACAGCTAAAATAGAATGTGCGGAAATTAATTTTAAGGCAAATTACCGTTTTACAAAGGTGCATTATCCTTTGATAGGTTTATCAATCATAACAATCTGTTTAGAGTTATTAGACTGAGCATTTGCATTTTTGATTCAACCAAACAATTCTCAAGGGGAATATTTTCTGTTCTATATATATGTGTGTTTAGGCATAGTAATTTTAGACAGTTAGAGAAAACTGATTTGATCAATTACAGTGTGCAATAGCGCCTCCCACAGTTGTATTTAATGTTTCCTTTCTGAGGATACACTTTAATTACAGGTGACAGTTAATGTTGTTGCTGCCTTTGAAAATTGGTCTCAAATGTATTTTCATATTATACACCTGAAATAATGGCATAGGTGATTTTTGCGAGTTGAAAAGATTTGGTTTTTGTAATTCTTGCTGACCTCAAGCATCTCAGGTTTTTATTTTGCTGACGAACCATTGGAAATGATCCATCCCCACATTCACTGATAATTAAGAGCCCTATTGTGCTGCCTTTCCTTTGGACCTTTTTCCTAAAATTTAAATTTCTCCTCCATGTTCGAGCAAATGTTTGATGTTGAAAAAGTGACCGCTGTATTGTCCCCAGTCTATAAAAATTATTTCTGTTTCTCTTTGTTGGTTAGCAAGGGGAGGGTGGTCGAGGGGGAAGGCAACGCTACTCCATCACCACCCAACTGCTTATCCTCTACTACATCCTGTCATATGAGGAGAATCTGCTGGCCAGCACCAAACAACTAGGTATGTACATGCTAACAATGAATGCATCCTATAAAGCACAGCAATGTGCCTTGCTTCCCTCTGTGCTGTTTGCTCACTTCCTTTCTATTTCTTCTTTTCCCTTTGCCCCTCTAAAGTGTGCATATTGTCATCTCCTTCACTGAAGACGGCATTGTATGTGAGATGAGGGGAATATGTCAGGCAGCGAGAGAAGAGAAGAAGCCTTTATCCTCTGTTAAGTTGTAGGAGACACTTTCACTCTGAATGTGCAGTCATTCATCCTTTTCTCTCTCGACACTGACTGTCGGCCGCCTCATACAGAATAAATGGAGGGCTGAAAAAGAGCCAAGTACAATTGGAGCTAAGCTAACTAGGACAGCTGTAGGTTAGATTGAGCATTAGCAGTTAGCATAGTCAGTGTTTATTCTCTCCCAGGACAAGCTCTCCTCTTGCCCTTCATTAGGCCAGATTTATGTGCGAGTTTATGCCCATCTCTTTAATTGCTGTGTTTACCCAAGTGCTCCCGCAGCCTTCAAAGAAGGAGTAATGATGCCCATCAGCAGTGGTAATGAACCCACGTCAATGAAAAATCACCTCCGCTCCTCTAACACATCGGCACAGTGGCTCTGGCGTCCTTACACAGCCAAATAAAACACTTATGCTCTGTCTTGTCCTTCTCTTGCTTTATGTTCTCACCCCATCTATTTACTGTCCTGCACTTTCTTTGCTTCACTCACCTTTTTTTCTCCTTTTTAAAGCCCTGATGCAGAGGAAACCAAAGTCGTACTCAGCAGCATTGATGGACCAAATCCCCATTAAGTACTTGGTTACCCAGGCCCAGGGACTGCAGCAGGAGCTTGGGGGTGAGATATGGACTTAATGTTTTGTTGTGTATCTAGATTTTACTTTAAGCTACCGTTACTTTTAACATTTTTACTCAAGTAGAAGTAAAATTACTTGAGCTAAAATGTACTTAGATAAAAGTGCAAAGTGAGTCAGTACTCGATGTACTCTGAGTAAACCTTTATTATACTAATAGAAGGGGTTTTGGGGGGTATATGATAAAGCTGTAGAATTAAAGAATATCTTTATGTATGTATTGGTATTTCAATGCACATATGCAGTTCCAGGTGGAACCTGCATTAAAAGTCACCAAGAAATTCAAGACGGGCTGTACATAGAACTGATACACCCACAGCAGGTGTCCACTGACTTTATGTAGCAATGTTAAACAACATAAATCAAATAACCACTTCCTAAATAATAATAATAAATAATAGCAAAATGGAGCAGCAGGCATTATGGGGATCTATAAACCACATGCTCCTTAAGGGCTGCAGCCAACAAAAACAAATTATTTTCTTTCTTGGCAACATAGTGGTTGTTGATGCTCCCCCCCTCTGTATCAGTTATCTGTTATCTGTTGCACACACCCACCTGAACGTCCCACTGTGAATATTGTGTACCACCTCTTTATATACAGTCTATGTGTACCACCCAGTTCTCCATGATTAGCTCTAGATCCAACTTCTCTGCTTGTTCAACGTAAAATACAACCAGTCCAATGCAGTAACAACGGGGATCCTCAAAAACATCAAAAAGAGTTAAATGTAGATTTCACAGATGAAGGATCTATTGCTTATATCCTAACATTTAGATATTAACTAGACCCAGCATGCATTTGGTTTGTGTGTTTGATTTAGGACACTTGCCTTTGTTGCTGTTTAATGCTTCAAATATACAATTTCTTTCTGCTGATTTGCCTCTTTTCATTTGTTGCATTCTCAGTTAATCATAACATAATCATATGGCTTCTGTATTTGCTGTCTAATGATTCTGTATTAAATTAACACATTTTAACTTTAAAGTTACTGAAATGACAGATACAAAAAATAAATACTGCAAATACAACAAGTGTTACAGGCTTGAAAACGCAAGTTACTAGCCAGGATTATAGTTATAACTATTCATAACTTGTCACTTCACAGTATATTTTACTACCCCAAAAAAATCTACCAAACTTCCCCCAACTACAATGCTGACTATAACCCCCCAACCATAATTTTTTGTAGGCAGTCATAAAGATCTTAAGCAGTTATCCCATGTTGGAAATGGAAAATACTATTCTATTGGGGGAAACAGAAAAAAAACAGTCATACAAAAGCTCAAAAACACAAAACCTTTGTGGGCAATAAACGTTCAAGCAGCCTTGGTTTTCTCTTTCCCTTTCCCCAGGCCTGCACTCTGCCCTGCTGAGGCTGCTGGCCACCAACTACCCCCACCTGTGTCTAGTGGAGGACTGGGTGTGTGAGGAGGAGGTGACTGGCACCCTGCCCCTGCTGAGGAGAATGATGCTCCCCAGCAACACCTGCAGATACACTCAGAGCCAGCTCCACCAGGGTGAGCAGGGGTGGAGTGAGGGATGAAAGAAATGGGATTAGGGCTTGTAGTTAGGAAAGTGATACTAATATTGTATAACACGTTGACAGGTGCCAGCCTTTATCCAGCTGAAATCTTATCTCAGTGGTTAATCCTTTAGGCTTTAGAGGGATTATGCTGTAATTGGCTTTTCATTGATAGAAATTTTTAATAAAAAGCAAAGGTGTAACAGATCATCGGTTCCATGCAGGTTAATATACAGTATACTGTATGTACCTTTGCAGAGGCGGATAGAGACAATAGTCTTGTTGACGTGTTGTGTAGAACTTTTAGTATCCAGTAAAGTAGATGAGCTGCCTAGTACCCTTTTCATAGCGTAAAAGTTCTTTTCTATCCTTTGTTTGTTTTCTCATTGAGAAAAGTGCTGCAGATAGATGCACTGTATGAATGTAAAACTACTGTAAAGCGAGTCGTCATCAAGACTAGGAAAGCATTCACCATTTACCATATCACATTAACCACTCTAACGAGACAGCGAGTTATCTGATGGTCGTCACAGCTGGTTTTAGCCAACACAACAATCCTCACCTCTCAGACCATGAATGGTTTGCAAAAACAGTAATTCCTCCCTTGTATCACACTTGGCAATTATCCTACATATGGAAATGACTAACTAGTTGAGGCCAAAGAGAAAAACAAAAATGTCCTCCCTTGTCTATTTAAGTGTCTTTGCCAGATCTTGCCTGTCTCTTGCATTAAAGATTTGTCTGATTCCAGAAGTTTAAATTAATTCCAGTGTGTGCACTTTGTTCAAGGGAACACAACAAGGCTCTGCAGCTTGAGACACAGACAACTAATTCAATAGTTTTCCACCCGCAGCCTTCCAGAAGTTGCCGTCCAGCAGTCCCAGGTTGATGCGCATCCTGGAGCACTTAACGCTGCTTTCACCTGGAGACCTGATCCCTTACGCAGAAGCACTCACAGCCAGCATGGCTCTGCTGCTGGAGCCCTCTGTGCCTCGTCGCATATTGCAGACCCTCAACAAGCTCTGGATGGGCCTCAACACTGTGATGCCCCGCAGGTACATACACTGGACACAATTGCATGTTGTAAGGACAGGAAAGTTTACATTCATATAAGTACCAGATCATTTATATATCTGGATGCAGATATGCCTTAGTGCTATATGTATGCCTTAAATTCATGACAACACTTGAATACTGTGGAGAATACAATTACCTAACTAACTGGGCTCAGCATAAGAAAATGTAAATACATTTTTAAAAAAAATCTAAATTAAAGGCCAAATGAAAAAGATCAGTAACTGTTTGTCTTTTCAGTTAAAGGTTAATGATAGTACTTGGCTTGGTGTCAGCTTTCCCAAGGCTCTGTGAAGTTGCTGTGACACTCCGTAAATGGATTAAAGGAGAACATGTGGAAAACGAGTTGTGACCCTTGACTCTAGGCCGTTTGTTCAGTGATTACTGTGTGAATAGATCAGAGGTATTGAACCAAGCGACTCTGTCAGGCTGTGTGAACACTCGGGACAGAGGAGGGTGACCCTCACTCTGCCCTGGGCCCTCAGGAGCACAGTTACCAGAGCTCTGAGCAGACATTCTATTGATCCAAAAGGAGTCTCTAACAAGAAGAGCTCAGGGCAGGAAAACTGAAAGAGACGCTCCATGAGGGAGATGTAAGGGATTGCTGCCCCCTCCCTCTTCTCTTCCTCACTCCCTGTTGTAGTATTGAATCTTGCAGGGGGGCTAAACCAGGGGCTTTGGTGAATCAAGAAGGAGGGCAGCAGTGTCAGATTTCACACAGATCAACTGATTGATGCGGCTGTGCGAGCTGCGGGAAAACTGGGAGCTCCAGTAGTACCCTGTTATTTGTAGTTAAATATTGGTCTGAGAAGAGACCGAGGCTACATCCACACTCATACGTTTTTAGTTTTAAAAATAAAACGATCTCGGTCCAGATGAGTGTTTAAGCATCCTTTAAGAAATAGTCTCCATCCAATACTAACATGTGAAGACACGGATCACGTGACCGTGCACATGCATGCTGGTGTTAATAGGAAGCAGACTGTCAATTTGCAATTGGTTGCTTAGTAACAGAAAATACTACTAACAAGGAACAACAATGGCGAAAAGTAAGAGCAGGGATTTCTTTTTCGTGGACAGATGATGAGGTGGAACTGGTATTAACATCCATCCTGAGTGAAACAATCACAAGTGGTCAGCTCTAAGTTCACGCACCCGAATTTCACAATGAATCAAACTTACTTTTACTCTACTCAGTGTCCAATCATTGATTTGTGACCAGCACCACACTGACCACGACTGATACTCTTCTTCAGTTGGTAAAAGCAGCAAGAGATTCATTCAGCCCCTGCTGACTCCTCCCTCTCTTCTTCTTGCAAGCTCATACAGACACACTACATCGGATACGTCTGTAAACTGTGATCATAAATGATGTGTTCATTTGCATGTGAGTGGGGAAGTGAGATCTGGTCTCAAGGACGCAATTTGATCTACAGGTGTGAACACACAAGCTTAACGTTGACCACACAGAACAAGTTTTAAGCAGGAAGTGAATGTGGGTGACTGCATCATCTTTTCTAAATGTATCAGTATCTGCCAGTCAGCAGTGATTCTGAAGTTCTCTGTTTTAGGGAGTAGTATGAATGCCAGGCACAAACATAGCAACAGTAAAGTTGTATTACTTATTTATTGTAAGTTGCTTTGGATAAAAGCATCAGCTAAATGAAATGTAATCTATGTACCAAAACATATTAGTATGGATATCGCCTGAGGGTGAAATGCTGTTTCAGGCTAATTTAGGAGTAATCAAATCACTGAAGTCATATAACCCCTCCAGAAGTGTGTTGCATTGTATTTTATTTGGCATTTAAATATATTTATTCCAACAAACAAAAGTCTTACACTCTGACAAATGTTCAGACGTCACATTTCAAAATACAATACTTTGAGTTATATACATGTTGCAAGTCAGGTACTGTATTTCCTCCACTTTGTAATACTGATAGATATTAAACTATGACAAATTTTGTGTTGCAGGTTGTGGGTGATAACAGTAAACGCCCTCCAAGCCTCAGCGAAGCTGCTTAGACAGCAGACATACACTCAAAACGACCTGATGGTGGATCCTCTCATTGTGCTGCGCTGTGATCAGAGGGTGTACAGGTGATCACAGAGATTAGTCATATTCCCCAAAAAAAACAGATCTCTTCTTAGGTTATTCAAAGTGTGTTTACATCAAGCATATCTATTAGATCTCTGGACCATTTACTTGTTAATTTAGTTTTGTTTTTGCAGATGCAGTCAAAACCTGTCAAATATGTGTTTGTACCTTTTTGTAATTTTCTCTCAAAGGTTTTGTGGATGTGACTATACTTATCAAATAAGACCAGTTTACCCACAATCATGCGTTTGAGTCTTACCAAAACAAAAAACAGGTCTGAGTTGTTATTTCCGTTTTGTCCAAGGTGTCCTCCCTTGATGGACATAGTTCTTCACATGCTGAATGGCTACCTGCTAGCCTCAAAAGCCTACCTACACTGCCACCTGAAAGAGACAGCTGACTTTGAACGGCAGAGCCAGACAGTCTCAAGCCTGGGGGTGCCTGGACAGCCAGATACACCTGAGGTCACCAGGGAGGAACTGAAGAACGCACTTCTTGCTGCACAGGTATTTGAACTCCAAACTGACCCACTACCACACAATTATTTGCCCTTACATTCTCAGATCTCACTTGTTTTAAGTTATGTGAAGGGATCTTGTTAAAGCATGAATGCAGAAGTAATGTGGCATTAAATTATACAAAAATACTTACAAGCTGGACTTTGGTAACCACCTGTTTCTTTTAAACTCCAGGACAGCGCAGCAGTCCAGATTCTCCTTGAGGTGTGTCTGCCAACTTCCGAGGAGCAGCAGCAGGGGGCCAACACAGAGAGCCTGCTGAAGAGCATCAAGGGTCCCATGCCAGGGAAATTGAAAGAGGGAAGCCCGGGGCTGAGAGCCAGCAGAGGCGTGGAGGATGCTGAGCCAGAGGGAGGCCTGCTCAGTGACTTGAGGGAGGTGCAATGTCTGATCTGTTGTCTGCTCCATCAGATGTTCATCGCTGACCCCAACATCGCCAAGTTGGTTCACTTTCAGGTAATAACATAGTAAAAGCAGGTACATTTACAGCCAGAAACACAGAGGAGAGACTGAATTAAAGGCTACATCCACACTAATAAATTTTAGTTTTATATGGCACCACTTTTGTCACCTTTATGCTTGCCTTCCACACTACTGCAGAGTTTATGAGCCCCTAAAACTGAGACTTTTGAAGACACTGCACGCCCCGTTTCAGGTTTACAACTCTGAGGTTGTTTTTTAGTCGACAGGCTGAACTGAGACCTTTGGAAATTACACCCACATTTGTCTCCTGATTGGATCTTTTCAGTCACAACTGGACTACCAGCGGTGAATGCAAAGTGTAGCTAGCACTGACAGTAATAGTTTCACCTTGCCGTAAGTGTGTCCAAGAAAAGTAATCCATGGTCTTAGAAAAGAGCAGCATCAGCCTCGGAAAATGAATTACAGGTGTTGCTGACCTTGTCTCTGCTCGCTGCACTTGTGGAGTTTAATTCAGCATTTTATAATGCTACATGAGCACAGACAAGATATTTGGTGATCTACAATTCCCTTGGCCATGTTCTTGTCCTGTTTCCAGGCATGTCTGTACGGGCTGCTCTTTTTTGGACAGAGTTTGTTTTTAGTTTGAAGGTGAAAACATAGTGTGGATGTAAAATCCCTTGCTTTCCTCCAGTTTATATCATTAGTTGGTAATTGTATCATTAGGGCAGAACGATATGCAACAATCTCACATATCATTTTGACATATATTGTGATTTGCTTTATGAGTTCCAGTTTCCACTGAAAAGACTATTCATATATATTGTTCTAAACAAGTATTTTCTTTCACATCAAGACAATATGTAATGCTTTCCCTGTTTACCTCTAATTAAATTGCAGCTCCTTTCTTTTAGATATTGTGCTTGGCCATATGGGGATTTTGACATTATTTCCATTTATGAAGGTGATGTTGACCCCATTAGCCATCACGTTCAGACGTGGCATTATGTTTAAGTGACTGCAGCACTCCCAGAATGAGCGGACCATATGGTGGACTTCACCAAAGCCGTCCATCCTCTTTGATGTTAAACGCACCCTTGTCCACACTGCTGATTAAAATCTGCTGTGTGCATTCATGTGCACATGCTTTTGAACGTAAATGACAACTTCATTAAATTTACTGTGTATTCTCGACTCCTCTCTTATCACCTTAGGTTCAGGATAAGTTTTACATTTCCTGTGCTCTCACTCTGTGTCTCTCCCTCTTTCTGTCAGGGTTACCCTCAAGCTCTGTTGCCTTTAACTGTGGCAGGCATCCCCTCCATCCATATCTGTTTGGACTTCATCCCAGAGCTGCTGGCCCAGCCCCAGCTGGAAAAGCAGGTGAGGCTTCCCAACCTTTCCTCCCCCCTCATCTCCCCTCTTTTTTTCTGGCTCTAAATTTTAGAGTTGCCTTGGGCCTTGTGCCAGACTCCCTCTTACACAGTTGACTCTGTTTTGTTTAATGAAATAACTTTAGAGCTCATCAGCCTCATTCCTGAAGTAAAAAGCCCATTCATTTTTTCAGCAGAGATTTTGATTATCCAAGGTAGAATTCCCACAAGCTACGAGGTTGTGAAATATTCTCCAGCCAGATGTCTGTATGATATCAACCATGTTTTAAGAAGACATGTTTTATTCACAATTTCTAGGAGGAGTACCACAAATCCCCACAATCCTCAGGTGTAACAGCGAGGTCTCTAAATGGTGTTACCATTGTTACCAATACTGTTACCATGCAAATGTTTACCACAACTGCAAAAATCAGCTACAAATTATTCAGTATTGTCCCTTTGCATTGTTTTCTGTTTTGAAACATATGTTTTTGATCCAAATCAAATGTTTTATGCTCACGGTTCCCCTTGTGGCTTGTCTGCCTGGTTCTAGACTAACAACTATTTACAAAGGATTTTCTAGAACATTCATATGAAATTCAGCCGTTCAGAAAGTGGGTAGTTACTGTTATACTCTATTGGTGCACTTTGCTGAGTGTTTGCATATTTCCTACATGTGCGTGCGCGTGTGTGTGTTTCATCACAGATCTTTGCAATCCAATTGCTGTCATACTTGTGTACCCAGTACGCTCTCCCCAAGTCCCTCAGTGTGGCCAGGTTGGCCATCAGTGTGATGGGCACACTCCTCACAGGTCAGTGAACAGCTTTTCTCTTCTCATCTCCTAAGCCGTTTTCAGACATGTACTCAGGGGGGGACTCTGGAGAATTGGGTCCAGACTTTCTCCAGAGGTTTCCTTTCACACATGAACAACGCAGTGGGAGGCTTTCCGCTGAGATGCGTTCACAACAGCAACAAATCCTTTGGAGGATTCAGGCGACGGGTGGTGCAGCAGCTTGCTTGTTTTTGCGTTCACACATGCACCTCCTTCAGGTTGTAGCTTTCTTTTCCCTCCAAAACTACTTCTTATAATCTACACATACACACATCGCCATCATTGAACTGGCTCCCAGCCGACTCACTGTTTATACTGCATCTAGTGTAAATTGGCTCATGTCATACAGTATGCCTTAATAGTTTTTCACAATATTTGGCTGCCCCCATCTGGCCTTTGGCTGTTAGTGCAGCATAATCCGTCAGTTACTTAAGTTTAAAATATGTGCCAACCGATTAGCCACTATTCAATGCATTCACAGCTTTAGTGCTTACTAAGTGTGTTTTTTTTTTTCTTTTAGTGCTGACTCACGCCAAGCGTTTCTCCTTCTTCATGCCCACGCTGCCGTGCCTGGTGGCCTTCTGCCAGGCCTTCCCCCCACTCTATGATGAAGTGGCAGCTCTGTTGGTACAAGTGGGTCAGGTTTGTGCCTCTGATGTAGCCACCAAAGCCAGGGACGTTGACCCTCTCATTGCCCGTAAGTGCGGTGCTCGTTATCTGTAATAAATCCTTTTTTTGCACACGCTGCATTAACGCGTCTTTAGTGTGATGAACACAGGGGATGATATCATTGAAAAGATCAACCTGTGTTCAAAAAAATGTTTAAGAAATTCATGTTCTTCTGACCCTAGGCCTGCAGTATCTGAAAGAGAAACCTCAGGAAGCTGTGGTTAAAGGAGGAGGTGTCTCCTCAAAGCTGACTTTGCCTCAGAAGACAGCAGAGGAACTGGGCGGAACTGACCCTGATGTCCAACTGTGTTACTGTATAGAAGCAACATTCATGGACATCATCAGCTCCACCCTTCATGGACTATAGGCCATACACATTCTGGAGGAGGGACTACGCTTTAACCAACAACTCTTAACACGGACCCTGATAGACGTTCACACCCCTGAGAAGTACGGCTGCACGATATAATGAAAACATCCGATATGCGATAACGTTGTTGAATATCGCGATTATGTTAACATATTTGTATGATCTGCATTTCTTGTATGACATACCATACAAAAAAGTTTATAATTATTCAATTATATCGGTCAATATCGCCAATTAAAATGTTACGTTATTTTCCATTTTAGGTTTAAAGACACTGATTTTTGCTCCATAAACATTTTTTTTTTTAACTCTGAGGTTCATAGGTAGATCAAGTATGCTACCTCTTCTCTGTGTTTAAACAGTGCATGAGCAAATTAATTGCTATATATTATACTTTTGATATATTGCAATCGATTAAATGTATCTTTTGATATTGTTGTATTTCCCAGCCTTAGTGTTAATTTGAGTCTCTTCGTTTTTACTGTCAGTAATTTACTGCTCCTCTCTGCGTCTCCATCATTCGAGCTGCACACTGCACCAACCATCTCAAACCAAACTGAGCGCGCCGCCATCTCCTCCAGCTACATATATTCACTGTTTACAAATTCTGTTGTTTTTGCTCAGTCGCTGACTCTACATGTGTGTCAGATTATATTCTGAACATCTTTATTTATTATCTAGGGCAGCAGGGCTCTATCTGATTGAAATATATTGACATTGAAATATATGACTTTGCGAAACATCTATCACGTATGTTTATTGTGAAGACGATACATTTTCGATATATCGTGCAGCCCTGCTGAGAAAGTCTTGTGTCAGCACACGTCTACTTATCTTCAACAAATGGACCTGGATGTTGACTTCATCAAGGGCTTTCATTTAAAGTCAGGTTGTGGGTTGCCTTCATTCTCTACACATATTGGGATATGCACAGTTTAACCACTCTGGTCTGTCACTGTTTCTGTCAGTCATGTTAAGAAAAATACATTCTTTACCAGCAGGCTCCTTCTTGACACGTTACAAATAAAAAAACAAGTTTCAATGTGTGTGAATGTGCTCTGTGACAGTTTGTAGAAAGTAGAATACTGAAAATGTTAAATAGGTAAATTTTCTTGACCTCGGTTGGTGTATTTTTCTAAGCTGCAAGTGTTTTAACTATTCTCAGCTATTGAAATGTATGTAGAGCTTTTATATTGTATTTGTAATAAAACAAAAAATCTTTTCTTTGACAAGGTGTGTTTGTAACAAAAGAAAAACTTGAATTTGAGTTCATGTTTGGTTTCTTTGGTTGGAAATAAAGGCTCCTTGTTAACATGGTGTGATGTGCAGCAGTTCAAGTAAAACTGAAGTATGCTTACAAATGCTCCACATCTGATTAAATGTCAGTGGTTATGTCTTGACATATAAACAGGAAGCTGTCCCCAACCTTCTAAAACACTCAAATTTGTATTGACTGAAGATATTTCACTACAGCACAGTTTTTTCAAGACTGATGTTTAGAATTGTTTTTGTGATGAAACTGAAACTACTCATCACCAATCTTTCATTTTGCATCTTCTCTGAATCTCTGGATGTTAATAAATGGCTAAGCCCCCAAATTTTCCAAATTGAAACCTTTCCCCAAAATTAAT